CTACTACAACTACTACTACTACTTTTAAGAAGAAGGGTCTCGGCTGGAGCCTAAAAGGAGCGCTTGTGTAGTGTGGAGCCTCGTTTGTTTCATGGCCTTCTCTGCGCTTTTTCTGCTGTTGCTTCTGGGCACTCTCTACGATGACACCATTGCACCTGCTGGGCGGGTCCCAAATCCCGCCGAAACTCCACAACTTTTGATCGAATCGGATGGCGACCGGAGGTTCAGACTCAGACCCGAGGGTTGGATGTCCGCGAGCTTCTGTTGCTGAACATCTGGAGCCGCAGCGATCGAGGGAGCGCAGCAACCTTCCGAGTGCGAGGACCTGTCGGACACATCACAAACTTCAAATTCTGACTTGTAACCTCGGGGGTATGACGTCGGAGCTTTATGACGTCTTCTGCAGCTGGACACGGACACAGGATGTTGCAGACAGTGTCGTGCTTCGCGAGGTGCACTGGGGACTGGGCGGGGAAGAAGCTACATGGCGCATACCTGGCTGGTCCTTCGTGGTGGCGCCGGACACAGTCAATCGCTTCAGTGGGGTGGCGGCAGTCATCTCCTATCAATTTGACATCAGGCACGTGCTGCAGGGAGCAGGCCAACCGGGGGAATCGTTCCTGCATGCTCATACACTGGTGGTGAGCCGGCTTCTGGTATGGGGGCAGGTTCCTTGCCCAGCACAACACTGGGGCAAACGGGGGTTGCTGCCGAGGTGGGCGCTGCGGCCTTCTCTGGCACAGCCTCTGGCAGGTCCTTCGTTGTCTGGCAACAACAATTCGAGCAGAGAGGTACAAGCCACATTTATTGATGTGGAGGTGGTTGATCTCACTCTGGACGTTGATGAAATAGAGCTACTACCACCATTACTACTATTACTATTACTATTANNGTCGCAGTTCGGGAGCCTAGAAGCTGTCACTGCCCAGCCCCGGATGGAGCAAGTGTAGTTGGTAGGGGGGGGGGTGGCTAGTACTAGTACTGGTACTAGTACTAGTACTAGTACTAGTACCAGTACTAATACTAGTACTAGTACTAGTATTCGTACTCGTACTCGTACCCGTACTCGTACTCGTACTCGTACTCGTACTCGTACTAGTACTCGTACTCGTACTAGTACTAGTACTAGTACTAGTACTAGTACTACTACTACTACTACTACTACTACTACTACTACTACTACCACTACCTCATTCCATTCCAATCGCAGCCGGTCGCTCAGCTTGGCGTCAGGTACGTGGCAGTGCATTGCACCGGTGCTTCAAGAGCACTGAAACCACATGGGCAAGTTCCGCTACGAATAGCTGCAAACTTGCGTCCTACTCAACCTGTCCAGGACTTAGTCAGAAGTTGAAGGAGGTAACATCTGTGATGCAGATTTAATTAAAAATACGTGCTCGTTGCAGCATTTGGATAGCAACCAGAGCCTACTCAAAGCAGCATGCTACTAAGAGCAGCCCAAAAACCACGACAGGCCAAATTCAGCCTAATGGTCAGCTCCATGCATCACACTCAGAAGCCTCAAACTAGGAAACAGTGGGGGCCGAAAGCGGCACCACTAGGCTCACTCCAGAGATTTCAGCACCCAAGGGAGGTCTGGCTGCAAAGCATCGCCGGATCACAGCTTTCTCGCACTTACTAACTGTGACCTGGAAGGACGCACACGTCAAATCCAAACCACATCTCGAAGCTTACAAGGGGCCGGGTCCCAGCGCGGGCCATCCCATCCGAGGAAGGGGTAGGTTGCCGCCGCCGGCTTTTGATCAGCATTCGGGACGAGGTAGTGATGATCTGCGGCTAAACATGGCTAAACACCCATCGGGTACTTGAAGGACACAGAAGGAGCGCAGTGTCTGCAACAAGCTCACGCGGATGAGGGCCCAACGGACTGTGATGCAGAGCAATCCCATAGGCTTGGTGTTTTGCCTGCTGCAGTAAGAGCACGGTATGACGGGGCCGAAGGGAGGGCACCCCTTGTACCCTTTGTAGCAACCCGCATGCAACGTCGTCCATCAATAAGTGCTGCAGCAACTCAAACTGTAGAGCAACCAACAGCCACTGCATCAGAGCTCCGTCGGCACGACCCCGTGCATGCAGAGGAGGCCCCGGTTGTTCGTCACCTGCAGGGCAGCAGTGGTAGCGTAAGCTTCGAGTGTGCACGTCGCCACTGCATCAGAGCGCC